GCTCCGGGAGCGCGCGGGGCGGCCCCGAGCGGCGGCAGCTCGGGGCTCAGCGGGGCCGCAGCCAGGGGAGGGTCGGAGCGGCCGCGGCCCCGGCCCCGGCCCCGGCCCCGGCCCCGCGCGGGGTCGCGCCCCCGTCCCCCGGCGGGCTCGCCCCGCCGCTCCCCCGCCCCGGCACCCCCGCTGGCCCCGGCGCCCCGGGCTCGCCCCGCCGCTCACCTCGCCGCCGCCGCCGCCCCGGGCCCGCAGCTCGGCCGTCATGGGGCCGCCGGCAGCGGCGCCGTCCCGCACGGCGCACGCGCGGCCGCGCTCCGGTTCCGGCCGCGCCGCCCGTGGGGCCGGGCCCGGCCGTGTGCGCGTCCGTGTGTCCGTCCGTGTGTCCGTGTGTCCGGCCGTGTGTCCGTGTGCGCGTCCGTGTGTCCGTGTGCGCGTCCGTGTGTCCGTGTGTCCGTGTGTCCGGCCGTGTGTCCGTCCCTGTGTCCGTGTGTCCGTCCGTGTGTCCGTGTGCGCGTCCGTGTCTCCGTCCGTGTGTCCGTCCCTGTGTCCGTGTGTCCGTGTGCGCGTCCGTGTGTCCGTGTGCGCGTCCGTGTGTCCGTGTGCCCGTCCGTGTGTCCGGCCGTGCCCGTCCCTATGTCCGTGTGTCCGTCCATGTGCCCGGCAATGTTTCCCCCCGAGAAGCCTCCGATCTTCGCCCCGGCCCCGAGCCCGTTCTCCCCTGTGTCCTCCCTGCCCTGCAGCCGGGAACACCGGCCCGGCCGGCGCTCTGCCCTGCCCGTGCCCCTCTATACCAATAAAAGTGATTTTCTTTTAATTCCAGCAGTAATAAACTCCCTCCCCTGTTGTGGTCCTGCGTCTGGCACGTGTCTGCCTGTGCTGGCCCGGCGCTGCCCCGCGGGAAGCTGCGAGCCGGGCTAAAGGAGGATGCCCGAGGGGACTGGGATGCGCCCCAGGGGAAAACCGCGAGGAAAGGGTTCAACGGGGGCCTGCACCTGCTTTCTGCTCCATCCAAACCCATGCTTTTTTGGGCCTGGGTGAATCAGCAGGAAATAGGCAGTTCTCAGGTTTGCTGTGGCAAAGCACTGTGTTCTCGGCACAGCCCGGATTCTACATTTCTCTTAACACAACAATACTGAAATGGAGATGTCCCAGCAAGGGGCCCCCGGGGGCTGTGCAGGCCCCAGGTGTATCTGTGCAGACCCCGCTGTCAGCAGTGCAGCCACTGGACCTGCTGATGGGATGTGGCTCAGGCACCTGGGCAGCTTGGCTCGCCCTGATGAGCTCAGCTCTCTTGGAGGAAACTGGTGAAAAGCTGCCCTCCTGCATCATCAGGATGTGTCAGTTGAAATCGTCAGCCTGGCTTTGTCCCCGCTGGGCACTGAAGCTCCTGCAACACTGATGGCATTGGCATTTCCAGTGGAGCTGTGGCACTGCATGAGGAAGGGGATAGTAGGGTCAGACAGTGCCACTGCCATACCCTGGTTGCCAATTCTCCCGTGAAAATGCCCTTTCCCAGCTGGGAGGGCATTTCCTACACCTGGATTTGTCCTGGGCAGTCCTTGCCTTTTGTTTTGGGAGAGGTGTGGGACCTCAGTGTGGACTGTTCTGAGATTGTCTGGGTTTCCTGGTTCTCACAGATACTCCAGATGAGGAATTCGGGAGGCAAGAGGGAGGAGGTAGCAGTGTAGCTTAGCTAAGATAAAACTGAGGAAGCTGGTGTTGGCCAATTTCCCCGATGTGCAGAGGAAAAACAAGACAACCAGTGATCTTTAAATGCAACAAAGAAATTCCACTCATTTTGGGAGCCTGCCAGGCTATTAATGGTGAGAGATAGGAAGGTAGTGCTGGGCTCTGATTTTCACTCTGGGACCCTCATGCACTGTGGAGGGAATGGTGCTCTACCCAAACTTTGTTGCTTAGGTAAGGGTCCCCAGGATTTTCCTATTTTAAAAAAACTATTAACCATAAAAATTCTGAATGTCCCTGTCACAAAGATACTCAGACCCGTATTTTTAGCTCTAGGTTTGTCCAGGCTGTGTTTAATGCTTAGCAGCCTGATTAATGCTGTGATAATTAACTAGGGTGTAGAACAATTTGTTTGCAGCATTAAGTGCAGTCACAGCACTGTTACATCCAAGATAATTTACTACGGGGGAGATTGTACACTGTCAGACAGAGCAAGCTGCAGACATGCCCTCTCCTTCCACATCCTGAGATGGTGCTCAGCCTGTGACGCATAGCTGCTGTCCCACTCAGTTCTCAGACCTCCTTCATTAACAGCAATGGGCTCCAAATACCTTCATGTACTTATTATTATCTGGCTTTAGTGGTAATGAAACAGTGGCAGAATATTGCAAACATCTGAAGGGTGTCTAATGAAAGAGAGGACTTGAAAAGAAAGTGCTCCTATCCCTTCTCTGGGGGATTTAAAAGCATTGGGTTTCTTCACTGGGGTGAGGATGGGCTTGGTAGCTGGAATGGGCAATTTTTGGCTTCTCCAAGAGCCATGCAGTTTTCACCATGGGACAAAGCTACCAGCATCCCTAAGTTAAATTAAATTAGCCAAAGGCACCAGACTGAGCAGCTGTTCATGGCATTTGGTCTGTGCTTCGGTCTCGGAGCTGCACAAGGTGAGTGCCAGAGAAGAGATCCTGTGAGTCCCCTCCGCAGTGCGCCAGGGATGCAAGCAAGCCCAGCGCCCCTCGAGCAGGGCTCTGCGGGAGCGGGGCTGCTGTGAGCCCGGCCGTGCCCGTGCCGGCAGCCCTGCCTGCCTGCGGTGCTCATTTCATGTCTCGCAGTGTTAAATCACAGCAGACATGCAATTCGGGGAGCGTGAGGCTCCGTAATGGGCGGCCTCGGGCGCGTGATGGGGCCGGGACCATCAGGCAGCTGTGCTGCCAGGGCTCCTTACTGATGCTTTATTGTTTTTGACGCTCCAAACGCGCTCTGAAAGGCGAGCGCTGGCAGCTGGAGGAGAGCTGCTTCCCTCTTCTGCCCGCTCCACACCGGCAAGCACCACAACTGAGGCCTCCTCCCTGTTCCCACTGCGGTCCCCAGCCTGGCTATAACACCCATCCTGCGCAGAGCCCAGCCGTGCTCCTGCCACAGCTCCACCGCCCCCAGCACGTTCCATGGCATGGGGTGGGAGCTGCCAAAGGACTACAGTGCACAATGCTGCTCACCCGGGCTTGGGATGAGGTCAGGTTGGGGTGAGGAGGGAATGCAGAGCATCACTTGTGCTATCATACACTGGGGATCTTGCGCTTGTGCCCCTGTGCTCCCCCCAGCCTCTGAGATTGCTGCTCTGGGCTAAATACCTGCTTGCCCAGCCAGGGAATTGGCTTGCAGCGTGGCTGCTCCAGGAGAGAGATCTGAGTGCCCATCCCTCCCAGTGCAGAGATGCTGCCATGCCTGGCTGCAGCGGAGCCTGGACAGGATGCAGGACTGAGCTGTGGGAAGCCCCAGGCGCTGAGCACTTCGATTCCCAGAAAAGCAATTACCATGCAGCAGATTACAGGGCTAATAAAATCCCATTATGCTATTTCAGAAAGTAAATCTGATCTGGGCACTGCCGATTGATATCAGTCCCACAAAATGTCCCGCAAGAGCCCCCTGCGTGCGCGCGTAACACGAGCCTACAGTAGATCACGCTAATTAGATATCCAATAACAGGAGGGCTGATAGGAACTACATTAAAATCTCTTTAAGATGAAGATGTAAAACCCAAGGGAGAAAATTCAGAGTTAATGATGCTGCAGCAGAGGCTCCACTGGAGCAGTCCACGCCCCCTTGGCCTCATCCTGCCGGCTGCAGACGCAGAGGGGGCAGAGCAGGGCACAGTCCCCAGCACCACGGTGGCGCTGACCGTGATTTTCATTACCCAGATTCAATAAGGGGAGAGCGCTACGAGCTGCTGGCGCTCCCTGGGAGGTGACTTGCCAGCCACTAACGGAGCCGAGAAATCAAATTAGCCCCAGCTCTGCTCCCGCTCTCTCCCTGACACTGCTGTTGGCAGCCAACGGGGAGTTCATCAGGGCCCCGCACTAATTCTTATCTCGTTTAAGTGACTCCATGCCGGCATCTGATGCAATTTGCTGTACGCCACTGCCGCAGGCTTTGGTCCCTGGCCGCTGCTTCCCCAGGATTTCCAGCAGCTGGAAGCTTTGTGGGGGCATAGGCACCTGCAACACACACAAGCACAGTGTAGACGTACAGGAATAGAGATTATAGAGACTTAGGGTGGAGGGGAAGCCCCCCTGCCAGGCAGAGGGACACTGCCCGGCCCAAGGCTATGATGCTGTGACATGGAGGGATGGATGCACACCCTGAGCAGGGCACCCACGCATGGGTGGACACCGAGTGCCTTTTGATTCTCAGTAATACCTGACCAGGCTTTGCTTCTAGTCTCGTTTGCCCCAAGGCGTTAAATATTTTGGGAAACTGAAACCAGTAGGAAGAACTTTTTTTGTTTGCTGAAATTTACAACAAATGAAAATTTCTGCGGTGAAAATGGATTCCAGTGTAGGTGCAGGTCGGAGGGGTTGGGGAAAGCTGCAGCCCCAGGCAGGGTTGCCAAGGGCTGCCTGCACATCCTCCCACCTGCGACTGTCAGAGCCACTGTTGGTGGGACAGACCCAGCTGCCGCAGGGTGTGGAAGGGAGCCCGGTACATCCAGAGCTCCCCTCTCCCCTGCTGGTGGAAACCCACCCTGTGTCATGGCTTATCCCTGGGCAGGCTCCCCTCTCCTGCCTCTCAGAGAGCGTTCTCCGTCTTTCCAACTGCTGAGGATCTCCTGCCTCAGCCCTGGCACCTGCCCTCTCCCCGCATCGTGCCCCCCACTGCACAGGATGCTCGTACCCCAAAACCCGCTTTGCCACAGGCAGAGGACGGGGAAGCTCTTTGGAAGCTGGGCGGGGGTTGGGGGGACAGCTGGGTGGGTCCCACTCACATCCTCCCAGACTGAAACTTGATGCAGCGGGAGAGGCTGATCGCGAGATTAACTGGGCGTTCTCAAAAACCCGACGGCGGGGGGAAGCCGTCCGAGTGCCGCCTGCCTCCCTGCTCCGCTCAGTCCGCCGAGCAGACGGCGGTGCAGCCAGCGGATCCATGGTGCCCACGGCTCTCGGGGCGCTCCTGGCCCTGCTGCCGCTGGCCTCGACGCTGCAGAGCCCAGGTAAGGTGAGGGACCCGTGGGCAGGGCTGGGGAGCCGAGGCGGAGCGGGGTGCTCCTGGCACGGAGCAGCGCCTTCCCAGAGCCTGAGCCGTGCTGAGCGCCAGGCAAAGGCTGCTCTGCAGGGAAACCTTTGTGCTGTTGGGAAGTGACTTACCTGGGAGAGGCTGGAGCATGGCAGAGCTCTGGTGCAGAGCCTGGAGGCTCATCCTGCCTGGGTAATGCTGGCAGCAAGGCAATGGAGCCTTAGAACCCAGCTCTACTCTGTGGCGTCTTGAGCTGTGCTGAAAACCAGCCCTGGGGACAGAGAGAGACATGGGGGTCTCCTGCCTGCACTCCACTGCCTGAGAGATGCTGCCTGAGCCCCCTCTCTGATGAAGGACTTTCTCCAATATAATGTTTAGTTCCTCATAACCTAGAGTTGGGTTTTGGGCATGATGCTGTGCCTATAGTTTCTAATTGCAGCTCTGCACAGTGCAAAATTGACAGCCAACATATTTCCTTGTTATTCCATTATTATTTTCTCATCTAACATTCCTGGGAAATAGTACAAAAATCCTTGAGCTGTTTTGCACCAGCCCAGCTGAAAGTGTTCAGCAGGCTGTTGACTCAAATCTCTGGATAGGTCATGTAGCTCCTGTCACCCAACTCCCAAGCCTGATCCCACTGTTAGCACATTTAAGGTGGCAGGAAAGGAGCAGGAACAGTAATACACTCACCCTGGCAATGCTGGCCAGGAGGCAGGAAGGGCTGTGCAGACAGATCCCCATGTATTAGGGCTGTGCCAGGATTGTGCCGAGTTGCACCAGGTGAGTTGCTGGCATAACCTTGACACAGATTTGGGCTGGGCAGGCCAGCGTGGTGTCTGGAGCAGAGGCAAAGAGCATCTGAGGTGAACCCAGCCCAGTTCTCCCTCTGCAAAGCCATTTCCCTGCTGCCAAAGCATCCTGATGCAGATATGGGTGGCATGGATGTGAGGAGAAGGTGGTGCTAGGAGGCGTGCAAGCGTGGGCCAGCTGCCACCAGCTGCAGCAGGAAAGGTCACTTGGCCCAAGCTGTGGCAATGGCAGCAGCTGTATTCCTCCCCTCACCCTATTTTTTCTTTTTTTTTTAGCTTAAAGTACAGATTAAAATTCCCTTCCAGTAGCTTTTCCCAAGTTCCCATAGATCTATTGTAATTAGTCTCTTCCGTTATGCTAGAATTGGACTCTGGGGCTGGGTGTGCTACAGAGCACAGCCACAAGTGTAGCACTGCTGCCCTGGCCCAGCCGTGGCGTTCCAGGTGCCTGGCAGTGAGGAGTGAGGACATGGTGCTGAAAGAAATTTGCCCTTGCTTGATGCTGCTGGCATCAGTGAAGGGACTGTTTTCATGGGAAGCAAACACCAAGATACCTAATAAATGAATTTAGCATCCTGCTTCATCTCTAACCTCCACTGTCTCCACCTTCTGAGCACAGAAATGCCCCTGGAGGGAGTGAATGGTATGAAACTCTCCCAAGGGCAGTGTGTCCCTCGTGGTTCCCCACTGCCACTATCCTGACACTTGTCCAGAGAGGTGAAGGCTGGCAGCTGTGCCCTCCGAGGCTGGGGAAGGTCACAGCACTGATGACCTGCACAGCACAGGATAACACTAACACATTAGGTGATGGTTCTGTTGTCCAGGTTTGTTTCCCATCAGGATGCTCCTATTTAAGTTGAATGGGAATCCCCAAGTGGTAGGTGAGGGCAGGCAGCTGGCAGCATCCCTCAGCCCATGGCCCACGCCAGGGTGATGGCAGCCGCTGCCGCGGTGCGAGCACCTCCCTCACTCCCCCTCACTCGCTCCCTTTCTCCCTCTGCTGAGCAGGTGCCCAGCGCGGGGGCCGGGTGCCGGAGCCCTCCGAGCCCGCCCTGCGCCGCCTGTCCCACCACCTCCTGGCCCACTACCAGAAGGGCGCCCGGCCCGTGCGGGACTGGCGAACGACCACTAACGTGGCCATCGACCTCATGGTCTATGCCATCCTCAGCGTGGTGAGTCCTCTGCTCCCATTCCGCGTGTGGCCTCAGCGGGGGAATGGTGCCTGGCATGCAACATCCTGCCAGCGTGCTCTGCCCATCTTCCGCAGTGTCCATGCCCCTGTTCTGACACTGTTCTCATCTTCACAGGATGAGAAGAACCAGGTGCTGACCACCTACATCTGGTACAGGCAGGTGGGTAGCCACAAAACCTTGCCCCTTCCTTGCTGGCCCCCCCTGGGGCCAAGCACCCCCAAGCCCCCATGTTCTCCTGTGAGAGCAGTGTGCAGAGCTGCAGGAGAGCAGTGGGGGGAAACACATCCTGGGGACTGGTGAGACCTCTGTAGCACATGAACCTCAAGGCTCAGTTTTCATGCTCCCTGTTTTGCACTGCTGGGTGTTGTGCAAGTTGAAGGATAAGTCTTCCCTCCCTCCTATGGCTGGGAAGCTTGCTTGTTGCTAGGCTGGGGTCTGTGTGCTGGCAGAGTGGAAGGACCTCAGCCACCAAGTCCCCTCTCCATTGTCCCCAGCACTGGACAGATGAGTTCCTCAAGTGGGACCCAGCTCGCTTCGACAACCTGACGCAGATCTCCCTCCCTGTGGAGAGCATCTGGGTGCCCGACATCCTTATCAATGAGTTGTGAGTGCAGCCAAAGTCTGGAGGGCGATGGGCTGGGACTGCAACTCCGCACCCACCATGGGCACGTACTGTCCCATGCTTTGTATTCCTGGCACAGAGCTGGCAGCCTCCCCACATCGGGGAGCTGCAGATGGGGATTGGCTCTGCAGTTGGGCCATTTCCAATGCTGGCTAACCACAACCGTGGGTAATTACCCTCACTGTGCTAGGGGTGAGATCCAGATATCAGGAGGAAGGCTTTGTGAAGACAGTACAATGCCAGGGCAGCTGCAGAGCTGCTGGCCCTTCCCGTGGAGCTATCTGGTGTCCTTCCCACTCCGTGGGGATTTAAGGTGCTCCCAGTGCCTCCTGAGGGCTCTGGGAGAAGGCAGCAGTCTGGGCAGTGCAGAGGTGATGTGAGGCAGAAATGCCTGCAAGGGTATTACCAAAAAAGCAGAACAGGAGGCAAATCCCTGGCTCGTGGGCAGTTCTCCCCTGAAATGCTACTTGGGGGAAGGAACCCCTACCCAGAGTGCTCTCCAGCCCACATCTCTGTCCCTCATGTCCCTCAGTGTGGATGTTGGAAAGTCCCCACACGTCCCCTACGTTTACGTCAGCCATCACGGGGAGGTGCAGAACCTCAAACCCATCCAGGTGATGACTGCCTGCAGCCTGGACATCTACAACTTCCCCTTCGACGTCCAGAACTGCTCTCTCACCTTCACCAGCTGGCTGCACCACAGTGAGTGCCGGGCCGCCCCGGGGCCCCGCGGGAGCGGGCAGGGGCTCTGCCGGGCCGGAGCTCCGTGCAGAAGGCAACTCGTCCCTCTAGATGGCCCCAGCGGATCGGGGAAGCGTGCAGGGAGGGCAGGCACGCTGCGGAGAGCCGGCGCTTTGGGCGGGGTACCCCCAGCTCTCACCTCTCCTCCGCCCCCAGTTCGTGACATCAACCTCTCGCTGTGGCGTCAGCCGGAGCTCGTCAAGTTCGACCGAAGTGTCTTCATGAACCAGGGCGAGTGGGAGCTGCTCTACGTCCTCACCCACTTCCAGGAGTTCAGCGTCAAGAGCAGTGACAGCTACGCCGAGATGAAGTTCTATGTAAGAGCCTTTGGCCACTGCCTTTCTCGGGGATGTGGCACGAGGGAAGGGACCCCCTCCCTGTCCGTGCTCTGTGCTGCAGCTCCTGCCTGCAGGTCGGAGGCCCCTGCTTAGAGCCCTTCCTCTGGCTCACCTTAGTGCCCCCCGCCATCCTCACCTGCCTTGGCAAAGACTCACACCAGCTGAAGGCCTCATTTCAACCCTTCACAGCCTTTTCTGCCTCTGTCCTGCAGGTAGTCATCCGGAGACGCCCCCTCTTCTACACCGTCAGCCTGCTGCTCCCCAGCATCTTCCTGATGCTTATGGACATCGTGGGTTTCTACCTACCTCCCCACAGTGGTGAGAGGGTCTCTTTCAAGATCACTCTCCTGCTGGGCTACTCGGTTTTCCTCATTATTGTATCCGACACGTTGCCAGCTACTGCCGTCGGCACGCCATTGATAGGTATGGTGGTTCTCCTGTCCAGCTGTCACGGCAGTCGTGGGCAGAGACCACAGGGCCCTGAGGGTTGAGCAGGGACGATTTGCTCTGTGCACGAGCCTTTGCAGGTCACTCACCTCACTGATGCCTCTACAGGCATCTACTTTGTGGTGTGCATGGCACTGCTCGTCATCAGCCTGACAGAGACCATCCTGATTGTGCGCCTGGTGCACAAGCAAGACCTGCAACCCCATGTCCCTAAGTGGGTGAAACACCTGCTGCTGGAAAGAGCCACCATCCTCCTCTGTATCCGGGACAGGAAGAAATTCAGCCAAAGCAGGATGCAAAACTTGGACACCTCCAGGCAGGTGGAGAACAATGACAGCACAGGTAAGGGTTGCACAGAGAGGGCCTGTGGGAACGGAAGGAATCTAGGTGCTCTGTAGCCATCTACATAGCCATTCTTTGTATGGTGAACTGGGTGCCTAGCTCACCCTCACAAATCCCAGTTCCCTGTCTAAATAGGTTTTTCACATTTGCTTCTCTTGATCCCTCAGCCAAACCAATCCCCCATGTCTGTGAGGGCCCCCGGGACTGCGGGGCAGTGGGGAGCACAAGGTCTGCACTGGCCTTTGCTGGCCAGACAGAGGGCTCAGCAGCACTGCAGGAGATCCTGTGTGAGACCACGGCTATCCGCCAGCTCCTGGAAAAACGTGAGGAATTCCGCGAGGCCGCCCGTGAGTGGCTGCAAGTGGGCTACGTGTTGGATGTCCTGCTGTTCCGGGTGTACTTGGCAGCCGTTCTGGCTTACAGCATCACACTGGGCACCCTCTGGTCGGTGTGGAGGGATGCCTGAGCAGTGCCCATTGTTCGGGGCGGGACATGGGGGACCTCACTCCGGCGGGTTCTCCCCAGCTCTGGGACTCTCCAGTGTCTGTCGACCCCGCGGGCGCATCCCTCACGTCCCTCAGCTCCGCAGCGGGAAGGCGGAGCTGAGCAGGAGCCCCCAGGACCCCATGACCCTGCCCAAACCTCTCTCCACGCTTCCCCTGCCAACTCCGGGAGCGCCCCCGGCCCGGCCCGGCCACGGCCGCGGCTTCAGCACCGTGGACAGCGGCCCCGCGCCCGGCCCGGCCGCCTCCCGCCCCGGGGTGCCCCGGCACCGGCTGGGTCCCCGCTGCCCCGGGGGATCCGCACCGCCCCGGGGTGCCCCGGCACCGGCTGGGTCCCCGCTGC